AAACCTCTGGCACTTGAAGCACCTCAGAGGGGGCCTAATATAGGCCAAGAAACACACGAATTGGAAGACTGCTTCCCTTAAATGTAATCAAAACTGGGGCACTGCCATTACTCCCTTCACGAGCTTTGAAACGCTTTACTTCAACTACTTCTCCTCCTTTTAAGTTTTCCTCAATTTCTTTATCAGTCAGACTTCCAGCCACATTATAGATGACACCTTTAATCACATCCCTTTGCTCAGAGAAAGACATTTCCACTTTTTTCCCACATATCTTCCCAATTTTCTGGGCCTTAGCCACTTGCTCCTTGTTGGAGCAAAACACCAACAAAGCTCCATTTCCAAGAGTTTGAGCATTTAGATTTTCCCCGATTGCTCTTAATGACTCAGCGATCTTTAGAGGGTTCATAACCCTGAACCCCTCATCGGTTTGCTCTTTCAGCTTGAAAATCACTTTAAACTCCGCCCGAGGTCTAACAAACTATATTAAGTAAAGTCAATACTCCAAGGTCCGTTATAAGTGCAAAGTCGTAACTTACGACCGTCAAGACAAGTTGTCATACAGCAAAATAACAAAAGGAGACGCCGAAAAAGAACTTTTCGAATTTCCCTCCCAGCGTGCTCTCTCCACTGCAATACCAGCTGGACTGACCCGGCTGCCTGGTCCGTGGACCTGCGGTTGGGAGCCAACTTGTGGAACATTACCGCCTTCTTCTCTTGTGAGTGGGTCAGACAATAGGCTCACAATCTAAAACCCAAACCGACTTACAGTCTATGGTCTCAACAAGGGAAGGGGCCGTGGACTCTTTAGGTTAATATAGTTTTCTCATGACTTATTTATAAGACATACATCTGTGTTTGACTTAACCATGGAGTAAACCATGGACTAAAACATGGACTAAACCATGGACTAAACCATGGACTAAACCATGGACCGCACACAGTGAGAACATAAGGCCTCGCTTACAGGATTAATGTTCTGGAATCTCTGAGTACCAACCAAGAAGGACTTTTGATATTCTCTTTTTGAAACCAGATATGACCAATCAGATGACTTCATTCTCAGGGCAAGTCCAGCTTGAGTCCAGCTGTTTTAGTGTAACACTGACGCCATTGGAACAAATGCTCATAAGAAATTGGTTACAGCTGTTTTATTTTCAAATTCTCTTCTTCTGCATTTGGCAAACACTTCGGTTATGTCAGCAATCAGCCGGGCCACTCTTGATATACAATCTGTGGTACTTCCAAGTGGCCAACCGGCGTATGGTCCCTCTCAGATGGAGGTGGTGGTCCCTCCCAGAATGGGGGAATGATCTCTCTCTACAAGAAGGAGGACCAAAGGGTGTGTTCCAATTATGGTGGTCTCTCTCCTCAGCCTCCAGGTAAGGTCTACTCCAAGGTACTGGAGAGGAGACTTTGATCGATCGTCAAATCTGGGATCCTGGTTTTAGTTCCGGCAGTGGAACACTAGACCAGCTCTATACTCTCCATCGAATCCCTGAGGATCATGGGAGTTCGTCTCAGTCCACAACTGTGTTGTGGATTAGCAGAAGGTGTTCGACTGTGTTTCCTGGGGGGTTCTCCGGGAGTATGAAGTTCAGGGTCCTCTGCTGAGGGCCGTCCGGCCCCTGTATGACCAGAGTCAGAGCTGTGGTCAGGTCTGACTTGTTCTTGGTGTTGGCCTCCGCCAAGGCGTCCCTTTGTCACCAGTTCTGTTCGCTGGGCAGATTTATAGACAGAGGGGGGGGGGGGGGGGGGGGTTTTGGGACCACAGGATTTCATCTCTGCTGTTTGCAGACGAGGTTGTCCTTTTGGCCCCAATGAACCAGGACCTTCAGCTCTTGGATGGTTCATATGCCTCTAACATGTCACAGATGGACTTTGAGGTCATGGAGAGACTTGAAACAAACAGACCTACTTCCTGGTTCTAGTCAGGACTTGAGCTGCTGCATTTGAAGGTGTTACAGCTGTTTGGAGAGACCTGTGAGCAGTTGTTACAGTCTAACCTACTGGACTGCTTTAGACACTATGTTTTTGATCCTGGCAATGTTTTTAGGCGGTAAAAAGCTGCTGATGTTACTGATTTGATGTGGCTATGGACATTTTGAAGTAAAACATTTACAATTATTCTTTTTGAATTTGTTACATTCATGAGATTTACAGTACATGAATGAGTACATTATTACAGTATTGTAAATACATGGGCTGGTGCTCTGACTGCCACCCCCCCGACCCAGAAATGGATTAAGGGGTAGAAAATGGATGGATAATTGTAATTACTCCCAACTATGATATTGGTGATATCAGATCATCCATGACCAGACTAGAGAATAAAACACTCCGATAGTACCTGTAGTACCAGTACCTGCAGTACCTGTAGTACTAGTACCTGTAGTACCAGTACCTGTAGTAGTAGTACTGCAGTACCAGTACCTGTAGTACTAGTACCTGTAGTACCAGTACACCGTCGATCATGAGATCCTCTTACAGAGACTAGAGGACTGGGTTGGCGTCGCTGGCACCGCCCTAAGTTGGTTTAGGTCTTACCTTGAAGACAGGAAGTACTTTGTGGAGATTGGAAACTGTGTCTCAGATCATATGGCCCTGACCTGTGGAGTCCCACAGGGGTCGATCCTGGGACCTCTTCTGTTCAATCTCTACATGCTGCCGTTAGGTCAGTTAATACGCAGAAACAAAGTTTCCTATCATAACTATGCAGACGACACTCAGATCTATGTCTCACTGACTGCAGGAGAACATGGACCAGTGGACTCACTCCTTCACTGTATCCAACAGATCAGTGAGTGGATGCAAAACAACTTCCTTCAGCTAAACGCAGACAAAACTGAAATGATTGTCTTTGGTCCCCAGAAACAAAGAGAGAGCGTCATCTGTCACCTACAGTCTCTCTCCCTAAAACCTTCAAACAAGGTCAGAAATCTAGGGGTAATACTGGACTCAGACTTAAATTTTAATAGCCACATCAAATCAGTAACATCAGCAGCTTTTTACCATCTAAAAAACATTGCCAGGATCAAAAACATAGTGTCTAAAGCAGACTTGGAGATTCTTATCCATGCATTTGTCTCCAGTAGGTTAGACTACTGCAATGGCCTGCTCACAGGTCTGTCCAAACAGGCTGTAAAACAGCTGCAGTACATTCAAAATGCAGCAGCTCGAGTCCTGACAAGAACCAGGAAGTACGACCACATTAGTCCAGTCCTCAGGTCTCTGCACTGGCTTCCTGTGGCTCAGAGAATAGACTTTAAAACAGCTCTGCTTGTGTACAAGTCTCTCCATGGCCTCGCACCAAAATATATTAGTGACATGTTAGTCCCATATGAACCAGCCCGGACTCTGAGGAGCACAGGGACTGGACTCCTGTTAGTGCCCAGAGTCAGAACTAAACATGGGGAGGCTGCTTTTCAGATTAATGCTGCTAAAATCTGGAACAGTCTTCCTGAAGATGTGAGACAGGCCTCCTCTCTGACAATGTTTAAAACCAGGTTAAAGACGGTTCTGTTTAACTGTGCATACAACTGAGGGATTTTATATTTTTATCTTTCTTTTTAATGTTCTGTGATAATTTATGATTTTAATGCTTTCTTGTTTTGTTCAGCACTTTGAATTGCCTTGTGTATGAATTGTGCTATATAAATAAACTTGCCTTGCCTTGCCTGCCTTACCTGTAGTACTAGTACTGCAGGTACTGGTACTGCAGTACCAGTACCTGCAGTACCAGTATCTGTATTACTAGTACCTGTAGTACCAGTACCTGTAGTACTAGTACTGCAGTACCAGTACCTGCAGTGCCAGTACCTGTAGTACTAGTACCTGTAGTACCAGTACCTGTAGTACTAGTATTGCAATACCAGTACCTGTGCACTATTAACCTCAACATGTCGCAGGTAGATGGAGGCGCCACCTACAGGTGAAAGCATATAGGTGGCACCTACATGCTTCAGTCCTTGAGCTAAGAATGATATGGCCTGGTCAGTACTGTGATGGGGGAACAACACATGCAGCGGCTGCAAGTCTCAAATATTGCTCTTGTTTCCTTTGGCAAAGCACCTCATCCACACTGAGCCTGATGTCTCTCTCTCTGAGCAGATATGTCTCTCTCTCTCTCTGTGCGGATGTGTCTCTCTCTCTGTGCAGATGTGTGTCTCTCTCTGTGCAGATGTGTCTCTCTCTCTGAGCAGATGTGTCTCTCTCTCTGTGCAGATGTCTCTCTCTCTCTCTGTGCAGATGTGTCTCTCTCTCTCTCTGAGCAGATGTGTCTCTCTCTCTCTGCGGATGTGTCTCTCTCTCTCTGTGCAGATGTGTCTCTCTCTGCAGATGTGTCTCTCTCTCTGTGCAGATGTGTCTCTCTCTCTGCAGATGTGTCTCTCTCTCTTTGCAGATGTGTCTCTCTCTGTGCAGATGTGTCTCTCTCTCTGTGCAGATGTGTCTCTCTCTGAGCAGATGTGTCTCTCTCTGAGCAGATGTATCTCTCTTTCTCTGAGCAGATGTGTCTCTTTCTGAGCAGATGTGTCTCTCTCTCTGCAGATGTGTCTCTCTCTCTGAGCAGATGTGTGTCTCTCTGAGCAGATGTGTCTCTCTGCTCTCTCTTTGCAGATGTGTCTCTCTCTCTCTGAGCAGATGTGTCTCTCTCTCTGTGCAGATATAGGTCCTATACAGGAGACTTCCCCGGATGCTCCCCCCCCCTCACGTGTCCTTGGGTGAGCCCCCTGCCTCCAAACACATCCTCACATCCCACGGATGACGTGCCCACGTATAGAACCCTTGCGCGCGCGTTCACGTGAACTCTTTCTGCTTTCTTCTTTGCTTTGACGTCACTGCCCTATTCCGAAATCCCTGTAACTGGAGGCGCGCTCCCGCGGTGCTTTGCATGAGGCTGAGCTGTGACAGCCCGTGCACAGTGCACTGCTCTATTTGCAGACACAGGATCCAGCAGCTCTCAGCCTCCGCGTCTGCAGCGTCTGTGTGCCCAGGAATGAGAGATGATGGCGGGTTCTGCCGCAGAGGAGAAAACCTTCCGCCGCTTCCTGGAGCTGTTCCTCCGGGAGATGAGGATGCCTCTGCAGGACACTGACCCTGTGCCGACCCGCCCCGTGTCCGACCTGCTCACGGAGGACGAGCTAGAAGGGGAATGCCTGGAGCTGTGTCTGCAGCACCTCTACAAATAGTTAAGTGTCTATGTGTGTGTGTGAGTGTGTGTGTCTGTGCGTGCGTGTGTCTCTGTGTGCGTGTGTGTTTGTGTATTTGCATGCGTGTGTGTTTGTGTGCCTATGTCTGTGTGTGTCTGTCTCTCTGTGTATTTGCGTGCGTATTGGCGTGCGTGATCATGGCGCACACGGCCCTGCTTCGTGCCGTTGAGGCTCCCGCCTACACGGAGCTGCAGCTCTGTGGGTAGCTGTAGTGCTCTCGCTCCAAAGGTGAACCCCTGCTTTTGCGTAACACTTTGACGTCATCGTGTGGGAGTGGGATCTGTCCACGGTCTTCATATGAGCTAAAAATAACCCGAGGCCAGCCGTTATTCCCGGGCTCATACCGGACCACGTCTGTTCCCCTCTGTGTGTCCCTGTGCGTCCCCGTCTGTCCCTGTGCGTCTCCTTCTGTCCCTGTGTGTCTCCTTCTGTCCCTGTGTGTCCCCTTTGTCCCTGTGTGTCTCCTTCTGTCCTTGTGTGTCTCCTTCTGTCCCTGTGTCCCTGTGTGTCTCCTTCTGTCCCTGTGTGTCTCCTTCGTCCCTGTGTGTCTCCTTCTGTCCCTGTGTGTCTCCTTCTGTCCCTGTGCGTGTGAAGGGCAGCGCGGTTGAAGTGCGTATGTCGGATGCGCCAGAGGCTGCAGCTGCGGCTCCTCTGCGCACAGACTGGACGCACAGAGCTGCGTGGGAGTGCGCGTGCATGTGCGTCAAGTGTGCGCGTGCGTGGACGTGTGTCAGTGACAGGCCGCTCTGTATGAAGCACACTTTGTGCTCTACAGAATCACCTACAACAGACTAACAGCAAAGGACATTTAGAAGCTTTATAATCTGCCTGCTCAGCAGGGCGAGGCCTGATCATATACTTGGATGGGAGACCAACTGGGCTTATAATCTTTCTTCCTAATAGAAAAACCCTATATTTCTCTATAATGAGAAATGAGATCATGTTTAAATACAGTCAGACTTTCTCTTACAGTGACTTTTGGCTCATTAGGCTCAGGAGGAGACTCTCTCACTGTCTCTGACATGAGACACCAGAGGACCAGAGGACCATGAGCAGAGAACCAGAGGACCAGAGAACCATGAGCATGAACCTTGAGCATGAACCATAAACAAAAAGCATAAAGCTTGAACAATGAACAAACAGATGGTACATTTCAGAACATGTGGAAACACGCTCTTAGCCTGAGGTCAGACTCTGCAGAGATTGTCTCTGAGAGAAGAGCATCCACATCTATGATTGGCTGAATCGTGTCTCATTCTTCATGTCTGAGCTCAGTCATGTTTCTGATTCGGTCACTAAATAATCGTTTGAAGAATAAAGATGAAGCTTCTTTGCTCTGACGTAATAAAACGTCACCCGAGCTCGAGGCCGGGCTGGTCGTATCACAGCCGACCCCTCTCACCCTGCACCCAACCACTCCCCTCAGGCAGGAGGCTGCGATCCATCAGGACTAGAACCTCCCGCCACAAGAACAGTTTCTTCCCCTCTGCTGTTGGACTCTTGAACACTTCTTAACCTGTCACCCCGCCCTTTATAAAGTCACTTTACTGCCCATCATACGTCACTTTACTTCACTGTACTGCTGTCACCTTACATTGTGTGCACCATGTTGTATATTGTAAATAGTAACTGTAACTCTATTTTTAATTAAAATGTATTCTTAGAAGTGTTTTTTATTCTTTTTTTATTATCTCTCTGACTGTTGCACTGAGCCAAAGCAATTTCCAAGTCTGTGACCTCCTGTTACTTACGTGCCAATAAAAATGATTCTGATTTTGATTCTGATTCTGATTCTGAAAAGGGTTCAGTTTCCTTCAGCAGCTTCAGGTCACGGCCTTTAACGGGTTCGTCTGGAGTCAGTTTGTAATAATCACACAGACACAGAGGGGGTGGGGATAGGTGATGGGTGAAACGACTTTTTTCAATGTGAAGATTTGATTGTAGTAGTAGTAGTAGTAGTAGTAATCTTTATTTATATACCGCCTTTTCACTCCAGATCAGAGTCTCAAAGCGGTTTACAATTGTTATTTTTGGGCATTAATCTCTCACTCCACACAGAGATGGGAGCGGGGTCGACAGTACAGGAGGCACATGCCAGACCTATTGTACATATTTTTAGTGGTAGGGGAAACCAGAGTACCTGGAGGAAACCTACGCAGACACGGGGAGAACATGCAAACTCCACTCAGAAAGGCCCTGGTCCAACCAGGATTCGAACCCAAAACCTTCTTGCTGAGAGGCAAGAGTGCTATCCACTCTGCCACCGTGCCGCCCAGTGTGTTATTTGGGCCACAGTTCAATATTATTGTGATTCTTAACATATCGCGATACAGACAGTAGTGACTCTGTGATATATTGTGATCCATGTCCCTCTTATTAAACTGGGGAGCACAGTGACTGGATGCTCTACCCCCCATGGTGATGAGGAGGAGAGAGGAGGGAGGAGTGAGCTGGAGAAAGGAGGAGGAGGAGGAGGAGAGAGAAGGAGAGAGGAGTGGAGAGCTGGAGGAGGAGGAGAGAGGAGGAGACAGCTGGAAAATGGAGAGAGGCATTTTTATTATTATCAAGCCTTGCCCTTTTACTATTTCATTTTTGGGTCGGGGGGTGACACTCAGAGCTGCACCCAATGCTCAAAGCACCAGTCCCTCTGATCCTCTGCAGGGGGTGAGTCCACAGTACATCAGTGGTGACACAGCCTTGAAGTTTCAGTGCGAGTTTCAGGCAATGTGGGGTTAAGTGTCTTGCCCATGGACACAAGGGCAGCAGACATTAGTGGAGTAGGTCCACTAATGTCGTGGTGGGTTAAGTAAGTAAGTAATCTTAATTTATATACCTTTCACAGACCAGAGTCACAAAGCGGTTTACAATTTTTATTTTTTGGGCATTTGTCCTCTCACTCCACACAGAGGAGCAGGGTCGCCAGTACAGGAGGCACATGCCAGACCTATCGTACATATTACCCGGTGGAAACCTACGCAAACACGGGGAGAACATGCAAACTCCACTCAGAAAGGCCCTGGTCCGACCAGGATTCGAACCAGACCTTTTTGCTGAGAGGCGAGAGTGCTAACCACTCAGCCACCATGTTGCCCACTGTACTTCAGGCCCAAGGGCCAATGCTCTACCAACTGAGTCACTGTCGCCCCTGGTTTGTCCCTGATGCATTTCATTGATCCATAGAAATTTCCAATGAAGAGAATTTCTCAAAAAAAGATAAACAGACGTTTCCGCTACTGGGTTCTATAGAGGTAGAAATGCAGGAATGCATTCCCGCATTGAATGGATTAAAGTAATGCATAACTTGCCTGATTGCTTTACTTGCTATAACAGCGCACGTTCCCCGTCCCAAATCTGGAGCCTTATTTTGACCCCCTGAACATGCATGAAAACTTGCCAAATTTTGCCTATAAGTCAGAACATGCAAAAAAAAATTGTGGGCATTTATTTTTATTGGACTACAAAAATGCCAGAACAGCGCCCCCTACAAAAGTCTGTTTACTTTGCACCTATGGGAATGGTCCGAGGTCAAGTTTGTCGTAGAGTCACAAAATTCGGTACACATGTTCCTCAAGTGAAGACATGATTTGTTTTTTATTATGGCCACGCCCCCTGACAAACAGGAAGCCCATGAATTTAATTGGAAAATGGAAAAATGAAACATCTTTTTCACACATGTCGGTTGGAAAGCGACTCCTCCTCGGCCGTTCCACAGATTTGGCTGAAAATCGCTCCACATCATCTAAACACATGTACCATCAATAGTTGTTCATAGAATTTGGATTGGTCACATGGTCATCCAATTGAGACTGTATATATATGGACACACTCACAGATTATACATGTGCTCCTGTTTACACATACAAAGTCTTATTTGTGCTAAGCTTGACTCGGTTGTTCTACTCCTGGGCCTTGATCACCTGAAGGTGTGAAATATTACATTGGCTCCTTAGCGCCCCCTACAGACTGAGCCACAGTGTTACATGTGGAGCCAAACCGACTGGTCATATTCAATACAATTTTACACACATTTTTCTACGGCTATGGGTGCAAAGGCGGCGCCACCTCCTTGACGCCTTTATAATGAAAATATTATTATCATTATATTCAAAGACTTTACAAACATGGAGGATCAAGCAGACATCATAGAGTCACAACAAGCAGACGTCATAGAGTCACAACAAGCAGACGTCATAAAGTCACAGATGGAAACAGAGGAAACTAAGGAAAACACAAAAGTGAAACAAATCATGATTTAATTAAATATTGCAGCACTTTGATTTTCTGTATCAATAGTATCGTGTGGGCAAAATATCGCGACACTGAACAGTATAGTCTGTTGAGGCTGCGGCGTTGGGAAAGACGGACAGCTGCCGCCCTCCGCCTGCTGAGGTGTCGTCATGGTAACGCTGTCATGTGCAGTAGTAGACAGTGAGTCAGAGAGAGGTGTGAGAGAGGCCCCAACACTTACATAAGAGTCTGTGGAGAATGGATTTTACTGCAGCCACACACACCTGCAGGGGAGGGCCAGATCCTGCTAGAAGCTGAGCATGGCACGGCTTGGTTAAAAATGTGATGGGAGACCTCTTTAAAATCTGTTTTATTTCTGTACTTATCTGGTGCACACAAATATATTTTAATGGAGTGACATAGTGGGGCGGCTGTGGCTGCAACACTTCCTCCGCATTAGAATGAGTCTGGTGTGTGTGTGAATGGTTGGTGGTGGTGGGAGGGGCCGATGGCACAGACTTGTTGCCTTGCCTCTGTGAGTGTGTCCCAGGGCAGCTGTGGCTACAGTAGTAGATTATCAACACTGTGTATGGAGTGAAAGAATGACGACATGTGAAGATATTATTATTATTATTTTATTTACTTATTGCTATAATCATTGTTGTATTTATTTTGAGCATATATCATTTCATTTGGTCCAGGTTTTTTCTCTCGAATTTTACCAATCAAAAGTGAAATATACCTACATTTA